AGTGCCGACCTTCAGTTGCGACGACATAAGCTGCCACGAAAGTTTGGATTTTAGTGGCGACGCATAAACGTTGTCACAATAGGTGACACCTTTACAGTGGCCATAAGTGTTGCCAATGTATAACGCTATTCCGGCGACCCTTGTCGCACTAAAAGGCAATTTTCAGTGGCCAGTTATATAACATCTACTTTGTGGAACCTTCTTTTGTGGCGACTTAAGAGGGTTGTCACAAAAAACTTTAATTATGGAAGTGCTAGCCACGATGATGTAGTCGTCACTAAAGGTAATTGTTTTAGTCGCTATTAAAGGACTGATTCCTTGTAGTGAAGGTGGAGGCAGGGTTGTCTCGACTATATGGCCACTAAATTAAAGCAATCGTTTGGGGCTCCAATTTTACCTAAAGTGTGTGTATATATATATATATATATTGAGAACTCACATTATACTATTCTTACATTTATCTTTATAGTAATTTTATTTCCTTTTCTATTTTTAATATCTCATTATTGAATATTTTAAAGTCAATCAAATGGTCAAACCTTATGCATTATGCAAAATTTATTGTTGTGTGTTTATATATGATCAAATTTGTTTTTGGTGTATTATTTAAATTTCAAGCATAGGAACAAATAAATTTAATTGTAATATCATTGTATCAACTTATCAAATAATTCAACACAACTATTACAATATAATTATATAGATTTTAAAAAAAAAAATTAGCCAGGTTTTATTATTCTAATTTATATTATATTTTTTTCGTTGAAATATTTATTATTTACATTCTTACTTTGCGTACATCCTATCTTCTCGAGACTTCACTTGTAGAATTATATTGAGTATGACAACTAAAAAAAAATAAGACGACCCCGGGGGAGGGGGCAATTGGTACATTCAGAAAAACAAGAGATCCAAATGTAATGAGTGGAAAGTTACAAGAAAAAGAAAATGGACCAAACATTAGTACTCAGTACAGTAGAATAATCACTGACCAATTCTTAATATGGCCATAGTTTTTTTTAGTGGTAGACGTTGGCATAGTTCCATATGGACTTAATTGATGTGTGTACAAAATTGTGCATATTGCATAAAAAGCAAAAATATTAACTTTACACTAGACTGAAATATCACTACCTGAAAAAATATACTCATTTCCTAAGGCCAATCACGGGAGTGAGTAGTAAGACAATAAAGGGTCGATTGATTGGTGAATAAGCTATTTTGAAATTAAAATACGAGAATAAAATGATTAGGAGATTAATAATATTGATATTGTAAAGCAAGGATTGTAGAATTTATGGATTATAACACAAGGATTATATATTACTATCATATATAATTGATTTGTTGTATAAAAATTAATATAAACTGTACAATTTTGAATTAATTATTAATTTTAATCAAAATAATATGAAGATATATTAAATAATGTTAGATTTTATTTGAAATTATTTTTTCTATTTTGTAAATTATAACCAAACGATGCCTCATAGCCAGTCAAATATTTGACGGACGATGACCCCGTGGGTTAAAGTTTTCAACAAAAAGACCATCTTTAATTCGGAAAAAAATATATCAATCGAAAATAGATTGGATTTTGGTGGGAAAAAAAATCAAAAACGTTTTCCGCAAGTGCTTCCTACAGCTAATTGTTGAAAATAGTAAACAAATATCAAGAAAAGATCAAATTTGTCTTTCTACTTTGCAAAAATGATTAGTTTTACCTTATGTTATATTATTATTTCAAAAATATCTCATCATTATCTAAATAGTTCAAATATAATCTTTCTTCATTAGGGTTATTTGATGTGGACACACAATCCCACGTGACACTGACATTTTAATGAGGTGAACACCAAGTGGCAAGACACCTCAATACCCCAACCTGTTTTACCCCTCCCTCCTCTTGTTCTTCTACGACTAACATTTCTTTCCCCTCTACTTGTTCTTGCATATCTAACATTTCGTTTAGAGAAATTAAAACGTTTTAGAATGAGAATGAATTAGATCAATTAACTCCCAACATCCTAGGAGAATTTGTGTCGCTGTCTATCATCTAATTAGAAATTTAACAAAAGTTTCCCAAAATAAATAATAATCGATTAATTACAAGTCTCCAAAAGGACAATATAACCATGCATGAATGTGTTGAAATAATATGTATAATGCATAGCTTTTGACCACGAGTATCATATTTGATTAATAAAATTTTTGTTGAAATGCAAGACCAGGAGAGAGGTCTTTTTCTTTCTTTTTCCCTAGATTCCAGTTGACCAATTACTGTTTCTTGAACGTAGAATTTGTATTTTGAAATATGATCATAAGCAAATATATAATAAGTACGTACTATTTTTATATCAGAATTATATTGTATATTTTATGTATATTGTATATTAATATACAAAAAATATTTATTTGTTAGGCTATTATTTTAGAAGGCGACATTACCTCAATTTCTCAACAAAAAAAAGGTCCTTATTCTTTTCTTGAAATGTTGAAT